CTGGTCTCTGTGGCCCGGCTTACTGGAGAGGAGTGTGGCCGAACAAATAGCGATGTCAATGCCGACAAAAATTCATTGATGAAGCAGTTTGCTCTTGGGGGTGAAGGTAGGGCGTACCAAGAAATCGTTTTTTGACTAATATTGGTCTAAGCGAATCATTTTGAAGCTGTTTGGGGTCTATGCTGGTATTATTGTAATATACACCCACTCCCCAGCAATCGCTGCACATGGATCTTTGTGACATGGTCTTTTCGCGCAGGGGAACGAAGGCACGAAGGATGCATGCACAGATCTGACAAACCCCTACTGAAAAGAGGAATTCAGTTCAGATCCAATTTAGTACATTTGGCAGGAGTAGACCCCAAAATCGGTGGGAAAGAATGGGACAGATTGATGAATGTATACTGTAAATGTCCATTCAATGTGTATTGGAAGTCGTTTTCAATACATCCACTTGGCAGCTGCATTGTGTGGAACTTCCTTCCCTCCAGGACCTTCTGGCCTTCACAAGTTCGAAGCTGAGAAGACATGGTCGATCACGAGCAATTGGATTTGACTCCAAAATTGTGTTGGTCGAAGATCCAAGAGGTCACTATATTTACACCTTTGAATGGGTGGTTATTGGATGGACACTTACATCTTCAGTGGGGTCTATAAACCACCCTTTGGGTGGTGCTGGTATCGTCAATATAACAATCTTTGCTCCTGTGCAGATCTTCTGCCTTTTGAATTGAACTATATGGTAAGCACCTCTTCTGGCCAATCGGTTCTCAGAGATCTTGAACCATCGAGTGTGAGGCCGTGGAGGACTCATCGAGTGTGTCTCCCCAGTCGTTGCCGCTGCGGTGAGAACGGGCCGAACAAAAAGACATCCCCAACCCAGACGCGGACTCCTTGGGAGGAAGATGGGTGTTTTTTGGGGACCTGGGATCGAAGCAGCCTCGGATGGAGGGAAAGAAAGCTTCGCTGGGCGGTGATCCCGGCACAGGATTTTGGCAGTTTCTGCATCTTCGGTCGAGTGGCTAGCAATATCCAGTGTCATTTTTTTGCCTTTCAGCCTTCTCGCCCTTTGCGAGCAGCCATTGTGCCGGTACGGTACCCAGGTGCGTGGGGGTTTTCGCGTGTTCTTTTCTTTGTGGGGGTTCAACCCGCACGAGAGTCCCGATGCTGTGCAGGTCGAAAGTTGACGGATAGTACTTGTACCTCCCTTGAAAATCATCCATGGTTCATCGTGACATGGGGAAAATGGCGCCCAATTCGATCACATCCAGCTACCAAACGGGCGGTGAACTCACTCGCCATCATTCCAGAGAACCCCCTGTTTGGACTTCTCTATATCTCTACTCCGAGGACTCAAGGCGAACCCGAAGGTGAACTGAAGCTTTCACCATCTGTCACCTCAGTTTGGGGCCAGGCGTTTCATGTCTTTGTCCAATTCCTTCCCATCGTTTGGTGGTTCGAAGGACGGGCACATATTGAAGGAAACAAAAGACACTCGCTGCAGCTGAGGATCGAACTGGGACCCGCACTTCGCGATGCAGGCTGACTGGTGCATGACTGGCAGTTTTGGCTTGGCTGGGCCAGTGGTTGTGCGATTCGACACGTTTCCTGGACCATTTTTCCAAAGCCAATGGATCTACAAAAGAAGTTTGGTCATGTACTTGGCCGATCTATAGTTTGGGAACCTTTCAAGTTTCATGCTCCTTCTGGGGAGAGTGGCGATATATGATCAACATCAATTCCTTTCTCCAGCTTCGAGCCCGTTTCCGCCGGAGGCCGACGGCGGGCCATGCTGACTAACGTGGAGTTCGTCTTGCACGCGACGCGCGGGAGGCCAGGACGACGACGGTCCCACATGGTCCCACAGGACGATCGGCCGTTCGTGCGCTGAAAGACGTAGAGGAAAAAGTAAGGATATGGTTGTAGGTAGTTGGAGGCAACAATGCTGTTTTTGGGAGGGGTATTGACATGCATGCATGTACAGTAGGCCTTTTTTTTTTTGGCGCAACGAAATGGACACATGCTGAGGATCGGCAACTGGAAGCACACAGCTGGGACACCCGCCAGGTTCAAGGAACCAAATCTTGTAGGTCGACTACACTGCCGGAAAGATGATAAAAAACAATATAGAATATTACACCCCAAAAACGATGCGAGATTGGAGAACGAGGTAAGGAAGGCCCATGTGATAACTTAACGGAAATATGTTCCATCGCTCATATGACGACATCCACGTTTCTTTTTTTTGCTGGACCTGCCGGCCTTGAAGACTGGTGACCTGGTTTTCTTCGCACCACAACCGGACCAAAACAGACTCCGTTCTCGCGCTCTGGGCGCCCGGTGACGTGCAGAACCCCCGCGACGGCGCGGTGAGCACCGTCCGGCCTCCCGTCCGGCGGCGGTCGACGTGTTTGTTCAGCGAGGCATGTGATCATGAGCAGCGCTGCTTTGGATCCCATGGAGATGAGGCACACGGCGTGACGGTGGCGGCGATGGTGACGGTGGCGACGGTGGCGACGGCCGACCCGAAGAACATGACCATGTGTTTTTTTTTGGGGGGGAGGTCGAATTCGGGGACGGCCCAAGGAATTCGGACTTCTGGGCTGCGGGAATATAGTCTTATTTCTAGGACCTTCCGTTCGCCCGGTGGATTTTGAACACTCCCAATCACCGAGGGGCCGAGCTGCAATGCCGAGCTGCGTGGAGGTCTCCGCACGATTTGGCGAACTTCGCCAGCGTCATGGGCGTGAAGGGAGGGCTGTGCTGCGTGTCCGAGGTGCCAAAGGGCCAAGGGGAGGGGGCGAAGGACACACTGCGCCGAACGACGCTGAAACAGGGTGGGAATTGTCACTGGAAACGTGTGTACCACGACCAATGAGATGGATCCGTCAACCTGTCCAGGATCGTCCAGGTTCCAAAAACACACAAGACTGACCATCGGGCAACAAGAAAAGCAGGACACCGGCAAAAATAGACCGAAGACGCTAGGCCCTTCGTGTTCCTTCTTCTTTTTGGGTGTCCTCCATGTATACAAATAAGTATACACCTGAAAACCCAAACAACCAGAAACACATGGTTGTTCTAATATGACTTTCTGGAGATCCTTTACATAGGAAGTGGCTAGACCATTCACCAGCCTCGTTTTCGGAGGGTCCTGGTATGGATATATTATACTACAATATATTTACGTTGATCCCTTGAAAAACCACCCCCATGTAGGAGAACGTCAGGATGCCATACACCAGGACCTTCCGTTCGTCGGTTTTGGAACACTCCGAATCACGTCCGTACGTCCGGTGGCTCTGGACATTGACACCATTCGACACCTCAAACGCAAGGTGGTCCGAACATCGCTTCGCCCTGCCCGAAGAGGCACCCTATCGGGCGCTGCAGCGGAACGTGCTGCGGCGCCACGGGCCCTGCCAGGCGTGTTGTTCCGTTCAACGGGCAGTCCGGGTCAACGGGTTTGGTGGGCGGAGGAGGGAAGTCTCCGTTTTCTCACAGCCAAAGGGGCAAAAGGGTGTGAACACTGCAGAAAAACCATCATAACTTCAAAACCACAGGAGAAAAACATGGAACAACTCTGGGTCTATAGGCGGGTAAATTCAAAAGACTTGCCCGCTCGCATTCTCTCACTTGGGGCCTAAGAGCATCTAGTAGCACTGGCAGCTTCTTCTGCCTTTCTCCAGCTTTCACTGATTTGTTTTCTTGTCAGTGTTCCGTAAAGTAAGGCTGCCAGAGTGGCTTCTAGGTATTTGAGACTGGAGCGCAGTCGGATTCTTGTTTGTGCTTCAAAAGGTGCGATCGCATCGAGGTATCGTTGTTGACAGGTGCTTCCTGGCCCCCCGGATGTGGAGATGGATGTGGCGGATGCAGAGGAAAAGACGCCAGTCAGACTTGACTCGTGGATGTGCCAAGATGTGCGAAGTGCCCTGAGGGATCTCCCCCAACAAAGAATTCAAAAGGGGTGTGCCA